TTTTTTCTGGAAAATTCTCACCAAAATGCTTTTGTACGCTTGTAAACAAACAGCTGTCGGACGAGTGGCTTAGAAATCACATCAGTCTGAAGTTGTTTGCAGTTTTTCATCTCACCCTGTATAGGTACATAGAATATGGAGCCAAATCCTACACTCCAACAGTAATCTTATTTCTAAATTTCAGGACACCACCTCTATTGTTTCACCCAAATCCAAATTGTACCAAATTTAGTACAATTTAGTACACTTAAGCACAAATTTTAAAAAACTACCTACATCATACAGTTCAATAGGTATTTTGTTTTCAAATTTCAGGATTCCAGCTACGTCCGTTACTCCAAATTCGAATTGTTCTGAATTTAGTACCTTTTTATATAAATACACTCTCTCCGTTCACATGATACGAAATGATACCAAATGTAGTACATTTTAGTACTTTTCGCACACTAATGGTAGGAATTTTAAAAATGCTTAGGTACATCTATCATACACTCCATCCGTGACCCTCATCCCAACTTTAAGAATTCTAGATCTGCTGCTTTCTCAAATATAAGAGGTGCCATATTTAGTACGTTTTAACACTTGTCGTACTGTTCTAGCACGGATTTCCAGAAACCCAGCCTTATCTGACCCCCTGGGACCAAGAGTGACCCACAGCCTTCAGCCCTTTCGTCTGGGCGTAAATCGTTAAGTTAGTCAGTCAGTCAATTACTTTACTAATTTATTAATGTAAATAAAAAAAATATTTTGATTTTATTTATTTTTGGTAAATTTTTATTTTCATATGTATATAGTTATGTATTAATTATTATAATTATTTGTTTTATTATATAATTATGCTTGTATATAATAATGGTATTAAATATATGTAAGTAATATTACCTTTATTTTATCATTAAGTTCTTATATACCAAAAATGTGTTTGTTTTGAGTTTTTTTTTTTAATATTTTACAAGAATTGCTAAACCAAAAAGTAACGAAAAGGAAAACTGTTATACCAAAATGTGTTATATCCAGCAATAAGTAAATATATATTTATATATAATCATTGATGTTGGCTTTTCCTTTTTGTTTATATTCAATTAAATTTTGTTATTATTTATACGGCTATTTATAATCGTATCGCATTTGCAGTGATTTATTCCAGTTGATTTGGATGATAATGGCAGGGTGGGAAATATGAATTGAAAATTTTAAATCAAAAATCTTTTTCAATGGGAAATAAAAGTTTTTCTGGGTTTTATCGGGAAAATGGGGTTTTTGAATTTTGTTAAAAAATGAAATATTTTTCCTGTGATCTGGAGAATGCATAAACTCATGTATTGTGAAAATAAAAGATGTTACTGTTTTTGAATGATTCTGTTTTGTACTTGAAACGTTGTTGATTTTTGAATTTTATTTTTCTTTCATAGTAATTTTTACGATTATACAAAATTTAAAAATAATATTTCTATTTTGGTTTTTGAAATGGTTTTCTCAAAATGTCACACAAAATTACACTGCGCTACTCAAATATATAAGAAGTAGAAATGAAAAACTACATCCTTTCGGATGAGAAATGTAATTTCAAAATACTAATAATTGAGCAGTATTACAAAGATGATACTCCGAAGCTTCGACATATGTCGGCAATGCTTGTGAGAAGGTCCATTGAGATATGGAAATTATAAGTATATTATTTTTATTTTCTTCAAAATTTTATATATAAAACTATAATTATTGTAGCATCGAGATACGGCAAACAGTGGGCCAATATAGGAAATATTCTGTCACCGCAGTTAGAAGCCATTACGAACCACTAATTTTGAATTTTAAATTATCAAAACGCTACTATCCAAAGGTACAGTTACGTGGGGGCTATATACACAACAGTATATCACAGGAGACAAACGTATATCACAGGAAACAAAGTCTAAATACCAATGCAATCCATTATCCCAAATCGTATATACCTTTCGAGGTCTCTCTATGAATATTTGGAGGTATTATTTCCATGCTGAACGGTATAAAATTATATTTTATATATGAAACCCCTAAAAATGCCATTATAATAGGCCGAGATGAAGTTTTAATACCCCAAACAACTTTTGAAATATTCCATTAAAAATGTGTATAAAAATCATCAATATAGCGATATTGGCAATACCGATACCTAAACTTGGATCTATATGGAGAGTTCTAAATCCATAAACATTTATCGAGACATCACCGGTTTGAAGTTGGAATGGAGTCGAACCAAATGCAAGATACACAAGCTTGAGACATAAATTCTGGTCTAAATTTTAATACCGTCCACCATGAAATAACAGGGAGGGGATAAACTTCTAATTCAGATGGAACAAATATTTTGGAGCTATATCTTAATATTTGGGGGAAGTATGATGTTCTGCTGTATCTTTTTTAATAAATATCATTGCTATAGAGTAAAAATTATGACTTTGAAAAGGTACGTAAATATAAAAATGTATAATTCGAGTTGGTACAAACTTTACAGACATTTTTCTAGACGAAACATGGTCGTATGATCCAAATTGGACAAATATAGCATCATTAAAATTATAGGAATTATATGGTGAGAACTTAGCTGCAGAGCAAAAATTTAACACGAATTCAACGCCTTCCGGCACGAATGTTTTTTTCCTTTATAGACTCCTCCAAAAATCAGTTTACCCTCATTTGAAAGAAATGTGCTTCGAAAAAAAAACGGTTGTAAACACTTCCCCTAGTTCCCTCCGGTCAAAATCCGATTCAAGACATTCGGAGTCGATCTGTGGTGTCTGTCTGACTGATGCGAACAGTAACCCTCGGAAAAAATATTCCATTTCTTCCAATCTTGGTACATGGAATACATCGGCCCACTCCTTCTGATACCTCCCCCAAAAAGAGGTCAACATTTTGAATAAAGAAAATGTTCATAAAATACGAAATAAACATTTGATACTTTCTAAACTTCACACGTTATAACATGTATAGAAAATGCCGATCAATATCAAAAGACCCTACAAATATTTATTATATTAATGATATCGGATAGGTAGGTATGTACAATAAATCGTCAAAATACCGAAATATAGGGAGGTACAGATATATGGGGCCTATAGGAAGACGTGGACCTGCATATACAATTCTCTGTCAAAGACTGTAGTTCCCATTACGAACACTAAATACGAAATTTTAAACAACTCCGGTGAATAATGTCACTAAAATCATCAAAATACAGAACATAGGGAAGAACCGTTATATGGAAGCTATACGAAGACGTGGGCCGGCAAACGCAATTTTTTGTCATAGGCTGTAGTACCCATTACGAATTCAAAATACGAAATTTGAAACAATTCCGGTGGACCTATTATACATTTCTCTTCCAGGGGGTAATGTGCTTTGAAATAACTTCTAGTATGGATTTTTAGACAATTCTGTTGAAAAATTTAGCTAAAATCATCAAAATACCGAATACCGTAATATGGTGGATATACGATATCGTATACCTATATAGACAATGCTATTCCAGAGGGTAAAGTACATAGAAGGAACTTCTTGTGTAGAATTTCAGACAATTTCATTGAAAAATTTGGCTATAATCATCAAAATACGGAATATCGGGGGGTACCGTTATATGGGGGCTACATGATATTGTGTACCGATATAGCCCATCTTCGAACTTCACCTGCCTGCAGACAAAAGACTGATCTGTGCATATACCTATCTTTATTCGTTTTGACTCTAGTGTGATTTCAACAGACGGCTACGGTGGACAGGGCTAAATCGTCTTAGAATTTTACACTGATCAAGACTATATTTATATACTTACTTATGTCTAAAATTATTATTTCAATGAGTTACAAACGGAATGACGAACTTAATATACCCTCCATACTATTGGTATGTTCCAGAACTGCAAGAATCTAAAAGTTTTTACTACGATAACCAAATTTACCTTTATGATATCGAAAAAAATCCAAAGCCAATAGATTCTTGAAGGTTCTGGGACAGACCATGTGTATGGTGGAGAGTTTACAAATCTACATCGTAACATTACAACTTGAATCGTACGAAGTTCCTTATTAGCCAAAATCGATTAAACATCTCAATAAATAACAATTCCTATCCGAGTGGTGTGGTTTTCAGAACTGTGTATTTAACACACCAATCTAGGCTATGAAGGTTATAAGCCACCACATAAACAAACCATGTGTCAATTCTGAAACAAAAACGGCCACGTGTTTCAGGATCATTCCATATACATGATGATGTCTTTTTTACAGAGCTGACGTATTCAATGAGAATCTCAAATACCGAAATAATTTATATAATAAAACGATGCTATAAAACTAACAGGCAAATCATGGTTGTGAGCAAGGATCAAGAAATCTATGTCGATCGATCCTTTAAAAAAGCAAGTAATTATCAAAAGGCGGATAGATAGAAGTTCAGACGGACGTCGTAGGTTGTGCGGCTGATCAAAAATATATTTTATACGATTTCAAATGTATACTTCTACGAGTTGCAAACACCGCACACGTCATATACCCTCCCATTGTATGGCTGAAAAGTTTTAAGTAACCTTAAATTTACTTTGGAGTAGCAAAGTGTAATTTTGTGTCGCCGCCTTAGCATAATAACAGACTGGGACAAAGGGTGATGTTTTTTTTAGACAAATATATACGTGTTGGATTTTTTGTTTGTAATTCCATATAGATTATTATTTCCTAATATTTATTACACTTACAATATTATAATTATCGTATAATTTACACAGGGTTCACTTTTTCTCAAACTGTTCGAAGAAAAAAGTGAAACATTTCGACGACATCTTGGCACAAAATTTTCTTATAAAAGAATAAGTTTTGTCATTTTTTGTTTTTTCTTCTTCTTGTATACATAAATATATTCATAAATTATTAATATTATTTATTATATAAGACTAAGAACTATAACTAAGCTATAATTATTTATTTTATTAATATTTTATATTTTTTTTTTTGGTTTATATATGATATTTTACATTATACATTTAATATGTATGTTTTTTTTTTAAGTACACAACACAATGATTGAATAATAAAAAGTAAAACTAAAGCTGACAAAAAACAACGGATTAGAAATATAGGCTATTAATATTGTGTTAGCCCATTTCACCACGGAACTGGAGCCATGTCTATGTGTGTATATATATCTATCAGAAATGAGGAACTAAAACTTTGTTTATGATCTATAAAAAATTCACTAAATTAATAATAGTAATAATTAATATTTATTTGTTTATGGCTAAGAAAAATAGTAACGAAAATGCTTAAACAATATATCGATTAGAATCATATGTTGATTTCTGTTTTGGTTTTGTTGACTAGTGTATATGTCTTGCTATTGCATTGTAGTTGCTAAAAACTATATGTGTGCAAACAAATATTGAAAAAAAAAAACTATATCTATAACAGTTATACAAATTATTGCACTATAATATCAAAGGAAATAGGATCTGCGAAAAGAATAAGGATATTTTTAATATTTACATTGGGATTTTTTTGTTGGAGAAGATTTAAAAATGCTAAGTTATTTTCAGAATATAGTGCTAGCAGTTTTGAGTTCTGAAATTTACTTTTATATATAAGTATATTCCTGAAAGTACTTATAGAGAACAACGTTGTTAATCGGGGATCTGGAGTGTTGGGTAATTTATAACAGGTACGACTGAATATAATATTTGAATTTTTTATTCAATTTTATTTTACTTTCTACATGAATGTAAAAAGCCGAGAAAGAGAGCAACAACTCTATTCTTCGGATGTAGTTTCGATTCTCTATTCGGCTCGAAGGACCAAATCTTTTAGTGAGAAGGAAATAGCAGCTTTATTCTTTGGATGAATTTTCGATTCTCTATCCGGCTCGAAGGACCAAATATACAAATGAGAAGAGCAACACTAGCGCTTTGTTCGGTTGTAGAATCAATTCTTTTTCCGACTCGAACGACCAAATGTACAAATTGAGAAAAGAAACTACAAGCCTATTCTATGGACGAAGTTTCGATTATCTACCCAGCTCGAAGGACCAAATGTTTTAGTGGGAGGGAATGAACAACTTATTCTTTGGATGTAGTTTCGATTCTTTATCCGGCTCGAAGGACCAAATGTACAAATTGAGAAAAGAAACAACAATCCTATTCTTTGGATGTAGTTTCGATCCTCTATCCGGCTCGAAGGACCAAATGTACAAATGAGAAGAGGGACACTAGCGCTTTGTTCGGTTGTAGAGTTAATTCTCTATCCGACTCGAAGGACCAAATGTACAAACGAGAAGAGGGACACTAGCGCTTTGTTCGCTTGAAGATTCAATTCTCTATCCGGCTCGAAGGATTATATGTACAATTTGAAAAAAGAAACAACAAGCCTATTCTATGGACGAAGTTTGGATTATCTATCCGGCTCGAAGGACCAAATGTTTTAGTGAAAAGGGAAGAATAACTTTAATCTTTGGATGTAGTTTCGATTCTATATCCGGCTCGAAGGACCAAATGCATAAACCTGTTCTATGAACGAAGTTTCGATTATCTACCCAGCTCGAAGGATCAAATGTTTTAGTGAAAAGGGAAGAACAACTTTATGCTTTCGATGTAGTTTCGATTCTCTATCCGTCTCGAAGGACCAAATATACAAATGAGAAGAGGGACACTAGCGCTTTGTTCGGTTGTAGATTCAATTCGCTATTCGGGTCGAAGGACCAAATGTACAAATTGCAAAAAGAAACAACAACCCTACTCTTTGGATGCAGTTTTGATTCTTTATCCGGCTCGAAGGACCAAAGGAGGGATACATAAATTGAGAAAAGTAACGAAAAGCCTATTCTATGGACGAAGTTTCTATTATCTATCCGGCTGGAAGGATCAAATGTACAAATGAGAAGAGGGACACTAGATTCGGTTGTAGATTCAATCCTCTATCCGGCTCGAAGGACCAAATACATAAAATGAAAAACGCAACAACAACCCTATTCTTTGTATGCAGTTTCGATTCTCAATCCAGCTCGAAAGATCAAATGTTTTAGTGAAAAAGAAAGAACAACTTTATTCTTTCGATGTAGTTTCGATTCTCTATCCGTCTCGAAGGACCAAATGTACAAATGAGAAAAGGGACACCAGCGCTTTGTTCGGTTGTAGATTCAATTCTCTATTCGGTTCGAAGGACCAAATGTACAAATTGAGAAAAGAAACAACAACCCTACTCTTTGGATGCAGTTTCGATTCTTTATCCGGATCGAAGGACCAAATGTACAAGTGAGAGGAGGGACTCTAGATTCGGTTGTAGATTCAATTCTCTATCCGCCTCGAAGGATCAAATGCATAAATTGAAAAACGTATGCAGTTTCGATTCTCAATCCAGCTCGACGGATCAAATGTTTTAGTGAAAAGGAAAGAACAACTTTATTCTTTCGATGTAATTTCGATTCTCTATCCGGCTCGAAGGACCAATTGTTTTAGTGAGAAGGATGTAGCTTCGAGTCTGATTTTATTTCACAATTCTTGATAGCTACTTACATTCTAACATTGCCTGTTTTGATCCTAATAATGATTTTTATTAATGAACACAGATAGTTGGTTTATGCTAACTCGTGACTGCAGTGCTATCTTTGTGCGGGGACATTTTCAAATTCCTTAGGGCGCACATAAAGATTTTATGGCCTTTCGGAATTTCATATACTTCAAATGCATTAACACTTATCGTATATTACTTTAACACGGTTAGATCAAAAAACTGCAACCAACTTCAGACTGCTGTCATTTCTAAGCCACTCGTCCGACAGCTGTTAAAATTATTCCAGTGACTGCTCATTATATTGCTTACAAGCGTACAAAAGCATTTTGGTGAGAATTTTCCAGAAAAAAAGTTATTCGTGATGGAATTCAAGCGTGATAGTGGCTGGAAAACCACATGTGGCTATCGTTAGAGCACTCCATCATTTAAATGTGAATAAATCTTTTGTGTCTCGTACCATCACTCGTTACCGTGATACTGTCAGCGTAGCCCGACGTCAAGCAAGTGGATGGAAGAAAACAGCAAAATCAGCAGAAATGGTTCGAAAAGTAAAGAAGCGACAAATATTGAAAAATGAGCTCGGGGTAAAGCCATTGAAATTCCAAAAAGTGCAAGAACTTACACCGCAACAGAATGAAAATAGACTCAAAAGAGCTATAGAGTTGCTTCACTTTGCCGAAAGTGGTGAACTGCCGAATTTGGTTTTCTCCGATGAGCAAACATTCGTTATCCAGCAGTTTGTAAACAAAAAAAAAAAATGATCGTGTTTACTTGCCGAAGAGGTCATCTGAAAATGTGAACCTTCGGTTGGCCACCAAAATTCATGCGCCGAGCATTGTGATTATGTGGGCCGTCGTAACAGCCGATGGTCGCTCTCCGCCCGTATTAATCGTCCGTGGCATCAGAATAAATGCCGAATATTATCGCGAAAATATTCTGGAGGGTGTATTAAAGCCTTGGGCACGCAAACATTTAGGCCGCAGACCTTGGACCTAGAGTATTGATTCGAGAACTCTCAACATTTCCGAGAATAACTACACCTTCGCAATAATCCTCTCTCCCAAAAAAAAAAAAAAAATACCAATGTAAATACTTTCATGTTGCTTATGTGCAAACAAAACTTATATCCTTAACTAATAATAGGCCGGGAATGGATGATAATTCGAAGGATTGGAAGCATGATGATTTGCTGAGGGCAAGACAGGCGCTCTCACACCCGGATGATAATTACTTGACGCCACCTGATGATAAGCACCAAAACCACGTGCCATATGACGATTCTGAGCCGACTCGCCCAGTAGTCGCGATTGATCGGGACCACCGAGCAGGCGATTGTTTTGCTCCATCAGCAAATGAGCCGTCGGGTCCACGAGCAAACGATGTTGATCGGCAGCATTTGATGCTGCCAAAATACGATGCTGTTCCACCGTCGAGAGTAGGCGATGATGTTCGAGACTTTCGCGGCTCTGATGTTGCATTTGTGACGAGAGGAAGGAACGATTGTTGCCCACCGACATGTTGGTGTTGGGCGTTAGGTCCAATGAGGCCATGCGCAACATGTCGTGATGTGGATGATTGTAGGGCAGCTGTGGCGGCGAGGGAACCACATAGTTGGCGGTACGACTCAAATCTACGGAAGTGGCCTGATCATGGTCCTGTTCGCTGAGTTGATCCGTAAGCATACTATGCATGGCCGATTGGTGCTGCTGCATGGCCAGCTGACTGGGATGATCCTGCTGCTGATGTTGCGCCGCTGCAGCTGGACCACCTGCCGATGCTGAATGATGCTGCTGACTCTGCTGGGACTGTTGATTTTGTTCTCTTTCCGAGAGGATGTCATAAATGTGATGATGATACCTTCCGATGCCGGGCAGATTTGCTGAGCTATTACTGGGCAACTGGAAATTGTGATGATAGTTCGCAGCACTCACATTGGAGCGCGATGACATATCGAGACCCTGCAAATCGGAGATGTCATTTGAGCTGGCAGCCACACTGGCTGCCGAATTCGTGTTGCGATACTCCGAGGGTGAGTCCATGTTTTGATTGTTGTATTTTAAAGCTGTTTGATTGGCCAGACTTTCGTATTTCGAGTACATCAAATCCATTTGGGTCTGGGGGAATTTCATGCGCATATCCTGGCCCACACTGTGGAGGTGAATAGAAGAAGAGGAAATTAATATTGAAGTATCTCGGCTCTTCTTGGGTAACTTACCTATTTTGAGGCATTATGCTATTCTCCTCATCGCTGGACAGATGATGATGGTGATTGTGCCCCGTCGGGAGGACATGCCGCCTATCCGTTTCCGAGTCGGACCGTTGCTTGTGACGCATAACATCACCATTGTTGAAATTGTAACGCGGTATGGAGGGTGACGAGGCCGGCGATATAAGTTCGTGTTCGGGATACACACTACCCACACTGGGGGCATTGCGTCGATGCACCAAGGCGGCAGGTAAGGGAGATGAAGCTGATATGTTGTTGTTACTACTGTTACCACCTGTGCTGTTGGCACTGCTGTTACTGCCCGCCGTACCAGGCCCACCCGGTGTACCACCATTCGAACCTGGCTGATTTCCTCCGCCGCCGAACATTCCATAATCCCTGCCCGGCGAAATAGGTTGGGGTGTTGGCGGTGTTCGATGTTGGGCAGCTGAAGGAAACGCCTCCGACTCATTGATCGACGAGTTGCCCATATGCTGGCCCCTGGGCGTTGAGCCAGCATCTACGTCCACATCGTTTTGATTGCTGCGCGGATTCGTTGGCGTCGAAGCACTTGGCGATATGTCACAGGAGTTGAGATTATTGCCCGCATTCGGAAACATTGGCAGTGGTGGTATTTGCATGGGGAAGTTGTTGAGATTTTTCATCATTTTCAGCTCACTCTCCAGGTTGTCCATGGGATTGTGGCCGCCGGCAAAGCGATTCGCTTCCGCATCGACATGCGAACTCATGGGGCTGTCGGTGTTGATGTTGCTCTCGGTGGGGACTTTCATGTCATTGTTGTCATTGTCGATCATATTGCCGACCGAATTGAGGGCTGCCTCGACCAGCATGCTGGCCGAGGAAGAGGATCCGGTGGCTGTGCCGCTCAGTCTTGCATTTGCGTTGTTGTAAAAAGAACTCATAAAGGCTTGGGATTGGGTTAGGGAATTCATGGACATTTGATCGGCATCATCCTGGCTGTTGTTGCCGGGATGCGTTGGCCCAGGTCCGGTTAGACCGGAGGCATTGGTATTGTTGGAAGCCACGGAGCCGGCGTTATTGTTGGCCGCCTCATTGTTTTGGCCACTGTGATGGTATTGTGCCATCTGACTATTGGCGGCGGCCGCCGCAGCAGCAGCAGCCGCGGCGGCAGCTGCAGCATTATTCGATTCCACCACATCCAGGAACGAGGTATTCTCATCCTCCTCCCTTGCATTGGAACCATGGTGATTGTGATGCGTTGGATTGGCGGAGTTGATGAGACGCGACAAGAAGTCCCGATTGGAACCCATTAGCTTGTTGGGATCCTCTGCACTGCTTTGAGGCACAGCGAACGGCGGCAATGGCATGTCATTGTCTGCCGACATGCCGCACTGGTTGGCAGTATTGTTCATGCCCGATGACGACGACATGTCACCCACCGCACAGTCCCGATTCAGATGGCGATCATCGCCGCTTATCCATTTTTTGCTACCTTTGCTCACAACCAAATTTTGACCCATGGCATTCATGCCCGGGTGATGTCGATAACCGTTATTGTCATGGCCTCCCATGTGGTGGGGTGTACCCTGATGGCCACCATGGTGGCTTTGATCATCATCATCGTCATCCTCCTCATCGTCGTCCTCGTCGTGGCTCATGTTGCCCGGCTGATTCTGTTGTTGCTGCTGCTGGTGTTGTTGCTGCTGCTGTTGTTGTTGTTGGTGCTGCTGCTGGTGTTGCTGGTGCAGATGATGATGGGCCCCCATACCCATGTGCGTGGGATTCAATCCGGACATCATGTGCATTTTATTGGTGGCATCATCACTGGCCGCCCCGGTCATGGCTGAGACAGCAGCTGCTGCCGCCACCACCTGTTGCACCTGCTGCTGGGCCGTCAAACGTTGAGCTGTGGTGGTGAGGAAGGTTTCCACCAAACTCAATTGAGCATTTTGTTTGCGTCGCATTTGCTCCAAATGTTCCTGCTCTTGTTGTTCCATCAAATGGTAGTCCTTGGGTTTGCGGCCACGCTTTCGGGGCGGTGGCTTCTCACCGAATATGCTGGAAATCTTTGAGGACAACAAAGAGAGGTTGGGTTCATTTCGACACAGATCTTTGATGGATTTGCCGGATTTCTTAATGGCCTCGAAAATGTTGTCATCGGAAAATTCGGCATCACTCTGAATGCTCGAGCTCATGACGGAATTTTGATCCTCCAGACTCTTGCGTCTTCGTCGCGGAGCTTGTTCTGTGAAACGAGAGAGAAGAATTAGTAAAAAATAAATTAAATGTCAGATCCCTTTTTCTTTCTTAGGCAGCAATGACGGATGTTGTTCGTTTCACTCCAAACTCACCGAGGAAATCAACTTTCATACCACCCGAATAGGCATCAAAGGTATAGGCCACACTGCGTTCAATTTTCGGCATTTGCTCCTGGGTGTAGTTGTGCACTTTTTTGTAGTGGAACTGCAGACATTGTTTGGTGGTGAAAGCGGCATTACATTCCGGTTCGGCACATCTGGAAGAAAATGGAAGAAGAACATGAAAGGGTGAGTTATGGTGCCAGACGAGCTCCAACTTACTTAAACGGCCGCACACCCGAATGCGTCAACATGTGTATCTTCAAATTGCTACGATTCTGGAACAGTTTCTGACATCTGGGACAACTGACCACAGTGGAATTCCGACTGTGCACCTCCTTGGCGTGACGCTGCAATGCTGCCCGTGAGCCTAGAAGTTTGGAACATAATTTACACTGAAAATCTCGTAAAGAATCAGCCATATCTAAAATGAAAATTTTGGAATGAAGAAAATGAAATTTTGGGTTTTGTGGTGATTTTGGTGTGAAACGAAATCATAAACACAAGATCAAGAGTCACCAATAGTAGGTTGCACGGCTTAAGGAACCACAAAGAAATGTAGAGCAGGCTTGTCAAGGCGGGTTAGTTTGTTAGTTTTTTTATTTCGGATGCGGGGTTAGTAGTCGGTTAATAGCAGCAACTGTATTATTTTTTTTTTTTTTTTTGGGGGTTAGATTTCATATTTTATATAAATTATAATGATTTCATGCGGAATTATGATTAAAATTCGATACAAGGGAAAACCCTACTTTAATCTCAAGTACAGAAACCAGATGGAATATATCACTTCTTAGAATAGCTCAAAAAAATTTTTTAGTCCTTACAAGGAAAATGCCTAACAATAAGGAATGAAATGAAAAAGTTGAAATGGTGGGAGCAGAAAAGTATATTTCAATTTCGAAACTTAATGCAAAGCAATCGTGCGCCGAGTAACCTTTGAAGAGCTATCGGTATCAGGATGGAATGGAACACTTGGAAGTGTAGTTAGAATCGGTTGTGATGCCAACGCTCACCACTTTCAACGGAAGATCAAAGACACTAACGCCAGAGGTGGGTCCATTTTTTATTTTATTTTAAACTATAATCTCAAAATATGTAATATGGGCAAGGATGTGACATTTTCTAACAGGGAGGAGGACCTCACCCTCACCAATAAGTGTGGCTTATACTAGATTGGTAAATATCTCCTGAATACTTCTTTTTGGATCACCGGAAGATAGTTTTCAAAATTTCTGTAGGTGGCGCATTGGGAAATATTTGCAGAACTTGCTATATCTAGGCCTCACCGTTTCGCCAAATTGACCCTAACTTCAACCCTAGATATAGACAACTCTGTAAATGCGATAACGACCCAGGCAATAAATGCCAACCAGTTTGGTGGTCCAAACATTTAGCCAAATAGCAGACAATTGTAAAATAGGGCCGACAAGATCAAACAACGTACGGACTGGGATGCCTATAAGGCAATCTTTAATAACTACAACAGTGAGATCAAGAAGACCAAGCGCAAGTCATGGCTATGCATCTCTGATTCCATAAAGACCCTTCAATGGATTCTAAATCCTTAAATCCTTAGTATAAAACGGGTCGATGGTAGGTGGACTAACTCCGGACTGGAGACTCTTAATCTGTTGGCCAGCACTCACTTCCCCAACTGCACAGAAGCGATAATCAGGTGGGCCATAGACACGTTCTAACCCTTTTAATCAGCCGGACTAGACGATATTATTTTCGCCATGTTACAATAAGCTTTGGAGTCCATAAATCAAGTTCTGGAGGAGATTTTCAAGGCTTGTATGGGTTTACCTCACATCCCGGTGGTACTGTGCAGGGAAGTCACTGTCTTATACCCTTAAAGATGGGAATCCAAGTCACTCACTTCCTTAGGACTACATAGCGATTAGTCTCTCATCCTTTCTACTAAAAACCCTAGAAAGGTTGATTGATATTGAAATAAGATCTCTACTACCCCGAGAAAAATATGAATGGCTCTCAGCTCACCTTGGCAGCTTTTTTGATATGGAAGGATCCTTTAACAACGTCACACTCGAGTCCATTCATACCTCTCTTTTAAGACTTAATGTAACCTAACTCCTCGGTAATTGGACTGATGCCATGCTAAGCAGCAGAATCATCAATTCACACATTTGGGAGACGTCTATTAGAAAGTCGGTCATTAGGGCACATCGCAAGGCGGCGTTCTCTCACCGTTACAATGGTTAACGGTCATCAACAGTAAACTATTAATAGCACCAAAATTCCTAGAAACAATTTCAGATCTAATGCAGGGAGCTCTCGTCAAGCTCTCCATCAAAAACGGAGCTCGTCCTCTTCACGAGGAAACGTAAGTGTCCTTCCTTCATACCACCAATGCTAGATGCAGTCACGTTAACCCTCTCCTCATAAGCCAAATACCTCGGTACTGTCCTTGACCACATCTAAACTGGAAAATGAATACTGAGGAATGCGCAAAGAGAAGCTTAATTGTACTTGAAAGAACTCCATAGGCAAGATATGGGGCCTCAAACCACATATAATCGAATGGGTATATGAGTCAATTGTTCGCCCTATCTTAGGCAATGGAGCTTTAGTCTGGTAGTACTCCTTATGTAAGTCATTATGTAAATCATGTAATGCAACAGTTCAAAATGCTGCATTGTTGATGATAACGGGTGCATTCAGGAGCATACTTTAGGCTGCACTGGTGTTTAAGCCCATTAAGTATCCAACTAGACGAATAGGCAAGAGCTGATAAAACTATTAGGTATGTAATGAGAATTAAAAAAAATGTATCTTCTATAATCGCATTACATCCGAAAAACGAATATGCTAATAAAAGAAGAAGAATATTTTCTACAGGGAGTTATTTTTAAGGAAGACCTTCAATAACTCTCCTGGAGGTTTAAGATGTTCTACTGACGACTATTGGATTTCTATGAACAGAATACATTGTTATAGGAATATGTGACTTTTTATGAGTCTTCCAAGGATGGGATTCTTTGATAGATTTGTCAGTTTCAGAGCGATAGAGTTGAACAGGCTACGCTCCCCTTGCAATAAGAGAGCTGCATCCATATAAATGCGAAAATTAGAAGGCTGCATTAACATGATTCCCCTGTTACATACTTATATCTGATAGTGTCTAAATCCTCATCATTTTGGTGGTCAATCCAATATTGTATGCAGTTAAAACTGGTTCGACTTGAGATTTTTTCCGGCGAAAAATAATACCATACCTTTTTGCCAAGGAGAAAGTGAGCACAAGAATATGAACCCTGATAAACTCCTGGTCCGAAAGTTAAAGTATTGGAGAAAGTAGCTTGCTTAGTTGATTTTGTCCAAATGGAGCCATCTTATCTGGAGGTCTCAACCTTCACTATACGTGGAATAGATATAACAGCTGACTTCTGTATGAGTTCACTATGATCCAGTTAACTTTGAGTTCGCAAGCTTACTATAAATTTGCTTGCCAAGGTCACAATGAATTTGCAAGCCCGCCATTATAGTCAGCTCACAACGAGTTCACAGGTTCACTATGAGGTTACAAGCTCTCTATGAGGTTCATAAGCTTTTTATGAGTTTACAAGTTCACACAAGATCATTTTGACTCTGACAGATCATAATGAGAATACCAAGGGTGCGCTGGTACATTATGAACTCGCTAGTTAAGTATGAGTTTACCAGTTCAAAATGAGTGTGCCAGTTCACTTTGAGCTCGCTAGTTCCCTATGAGTTTAACAGCTCTCAATTAAAATGTTTGATAGTTCGACTCCAGGATTCGATAGAAATTTTTTAGAGTGAAAATGATCCGTCATTTAATTGACAATGAAAAATTAAACAATTAGTAAACTCAGAATGATTTAACTAGCTCGCAATGGGTCTATCGGTTCGCTATGATTTAGTCAGCTCACACGCTTACTATGAGGTCACTAGCTCACTATAAGTTCACGAGCATATTTTGAGTTTGCCAGCTCATTATGCACGCGCCAGTTCAATATGAATTCGCCAACTCACAATGAGTCTGCTAAATCACCATGATTTCACCAGCTTACAATAAGTTAGACAGCCCGTAATGAGATCGATAAATCACAATGAGTTTGTGATCTCAAAAGATCACTAAGACTTAGTCAGCTCATATTGTGTTGGCTAGATCACTATGGGTTCCTCAATACACAATGAGCTCGCTAGTTCAATATGAGTTCACCAGCTCACAACAAGTTCACCAGCTCAATATGAGTTCGTCTGCTCTTGATAAGTTCGCTAGATCACTAAGAGTTCACTCGCTCATAATGATTTCACCAGCTCACAATAAGTTAATTACTTCAATATGAGTTAAATTGCTCTGAATGAGTTCGCCTGCTACATATTAGTTCAACTGCTCAGTGTGGCTTCACCAGCCCAATAATGTGTCCAACTGAGCTCGTCATTGACCTATGAGTTTGATAGCTTTCAATGAGTTAACCAGCTCAATATGATTTCGTCTGCTCACTATAAGATCTCCAGTTCAATATAAGTTGGTCTGCTCTCGATGAGTTCGCAAAATCACTATGAGTTCAATCGCTCACAATTAGTTCATCAGCTCAGTATGAATTCGCCTAATCATAATGAATTCGCCTGCTCACAATGTATTCACCAAGAGTTCACCAGCTCACATTGAATCCACCTGTACAAAATACTTTGTACATACTTTTGAGTGCGGCTGAGGCGCTGGGAAAATCTAACCATTAAAAATAAATATTTAAAAATTGTCAATTTCCCAGTGGTCATAAAATATCACATGTGTACAATTCAGTGATCTTGTGCGCTGTCGCATACGATAATGTGTAGGATAATAAAGGTCATAACCCACACACACAGATATTGATGCGCCAGTAGGTAGCCAAGATCACTTGAATGAAGGGACAAGCACCCATGCAATGTTTCTTTTAAATCTAATAATAGATAAGAACAATTGTGGGGCTGCGACTAGGTTAAGTTAGATTAGTTTCAGTAGTACGTAAGGAACATATTTTAAAAATAAAATTAGAATTGAACCAACAGCCACACGATACGGTTGTGTTTTCTCTTCTCCCGCTAACATATGGTCAATCGAGCCTTCACTTTTTTATAAAGTGGAAATAACTAGCGGCCGTAAAAAAATTGTAGGAGTTTTCCCCCACCAGTGGTAAGAGACTCACTACAAGCAGAAATAGATATTCTCCAGAAATAGAGGAGAATTTCTACAAAAAACAAAGTCCGTTAAGGCATTTTAAATATAAGACCATAGGGGCAAAATTTGAATAAAAAAGCCATAGGGGCAAAATAAAAAAAAAAGCCATAGGGGCAAAATAAAAAAAAAAAAAAAGCCATAGGGGCAAAAACAAAAAAAAAAAAAGCCATAGGGGCAAAAATAAAAATAAAACGAAAAGAGGACAACAAAAGTCC